AATCTATTGATCTGAGAGTGTGAGAGGCAAGGCCCCAGAGAAGTAAGTGATGGTCCAGAATTTCCACAGGAAGAGAGGGATCATGTGAGGGCCTCTGGGGCTCCTCCACTGCTGCCGCTTCCACTGCCACCATGGTCTCCCCCACCCCATTAGTGTCCTCACCTGCATCACCACCACCTCTATCACTGTGACCACCTCCACCACCAGCTGATCCCACATCTGCCATCAGTGAGAACACCCACTCACTCCATCCTGGTTCCCACCTGTCCTCCACCAGCAGGTCACAAAGCCACCAAGATTGTTTTTCCCACAGCAACTCTCCTCAATTCTCCAGGAAACCCAGGATTCATCCCCCCTTTACCTCCTGATGAGCACGTGTGAATTGCGGCAGGTTAATGTGGACATCACCATAACCCAGTTGCCTGAAGCTGGCAGTCCCTTCAGTCACTGAGTTTCCAGAACTCAGACCTCCGAGGCTGGCATGTGTTGAATTATTTATTGGGCATCTGTTCTGTGTGTGCCCCAATAGCAGCAATCCCCAGAAATAGAAAAATAAAAACTTTATTTTTTTGCTATCTAGGAAGCGGCAGTTCGGTTTGAGAAGTGTTATATGAGAAACAGTGAACAAGTTGGAAAAAGACCAGCGGTGACAGAGGGTCAACCGAAAGGAGGAGTGGGCCCCAGCAGCTTTCTGTAGGGCACTCTGNGGTGACAGAGGGTCAACCGAAAGGAGGAGTGGGCCCCAGCAGCTTTCTGTAGGGCACTCTGGCCACTGCAAGGGGCCTCCCATCCTTGGCACCCGCCCGATGGTTTCACCCTGCTGTTTCCACCCAACCCGCTTGTAATGATGGAAGGAAGACCCCTGTTTAGGTCTCATGGTTTCTTGCTGCTTCCCTCGGTCCCCAGGTCATCATCATTTGCCTGGTCATCCTGGATGCCCTCCTGGTGCTCGCCGAGCTCATTCTGGACCTGAAAATCATCCAGCGCGACGGGAACAACTATGCCGCCAAGGTAGCGTGTGGGCAGCCCTTTGGGGTTTGGCTTACACAGTTCATTTCTTTTATGTGCGCTGAGCAGGGGCAGAGTAGGGCTAACAACCCACTGGGAGCAGCGGGGCCTCATCAGTTTGGGTATTTTAGTCAAAGGGCAGAGGAAATGTCTTCCTTTCCAAACTATAGAAAGTGTTTACAAGCGGGAAACCTCATTTCACTGGATGGCATGAACCTTGAGAAATGCTAGACCATTGAGCTGGTACATGTCGCTCATTCAGGAGGGATGGTCTCACCAGGGAAATGATAGACTGTCCCATCCCCAGAGGCAGGAGAGTCACTTCTCCTCCTGTCTTGTTGACAGTCTGCATGGTCCCCACACTGGAGCCACCAGGGGATGTGCCATCTATTCACTGATTCACAGTTACTGAGCCCATCCCAGTCAGTCACCCAAGGGGCAGAGGACACACGCTCAGTGCCACAGGAGGAGGCTTAGAAGCATCTCCCCATGCCCTTTTTGGGGAAAAAAAAAAAANAGTGCCACAGGAGGAGGCTTAGAAGCATCTCCCCATGCCCTTTTTGGGGAAAAAAAAAAAAGGAATTGATATGCAAACCCATGTCTTTTCAAGTGGTAAAAAGAGTAGGAAGAAATATTAAACCTTTTTCACTCCTGCTCCCTTTCCCAGCACCAGTCCTGTTACATTGCCTTCCAAGTCTTTGCACAGAAAGATGAATATCTTTCCTCTCCCTTTGTTTTAATGGAATCGGCAATGTACCTGCTATACTCAGTCTTTTTTCTCAACTTTTTATGAAAAGTGACTTTGCTTTATCTCTGTAATACACATACTCATGTATTTGATCATTTGAAAGTTAGACATCATGACACTCTACCCCTAAATACTTCAACATGCCTAAGAATAAGATTTTTCTCCTATAGAACCATAATAGCATTATCAGTCCTAAAAGAAAAATCAATAATTCCATAATATCTAATAACTACTCTTATTCCAATTTTCTCATTTATCCCAAGAATGTCTTTTATAGTGCTTTTTTTCAAACTAGGATCCAGACTTCCAATTTTCAATTTGGTTATACCTCCTCGGGCTTTTTAATCTAGAAGAGTCCTCCCACCTTTTTTTTTTTTTTTTTTTTTTTCCCCC